GTGGAGAAAAAGGAACACTTGTGCACTGCTGGTGGGAATGCAGACTGGTGCAGCCACTATGGAAGACAGTATGGAGTTTCCTCAAAAAACTGAAAATGGAACTCCCATTTGACCCTGTGATTCCACTTCTAGGAATATATCCGAAGAAATCAGAAACACCAATCAGAAAGGATATATGCACCCCTATGTTCATAGCAGCACAATTCACCATAGCTAAGATCTGGAAACAGCCTAAGTGCCCATCAGTAGATGAATGGATTAGAAAACTGTGGTACATCTACACGATGGAATACTATGCTGCTCTAAAAAGGAAGGAACTCTTACCATTTGCAAAGACATGGATGGAACTGGAGAGCATTATGCTAAGTGAAATAAGCCAGTCAATGAAGGAAAAATACCACATGATCTCACTCATTCATGGATAATAGAGACCATTATAAACTTTTGAACAATAATAGATACAGAGGCAGAGCTGCCTCAAACAGATCGTCAAACTGCAGCGGGAAGGCCGGGGAGGGTTGGGGGGCAGGAGGTAGGGGGGTAAGAGATCAACCAAAGGACTTGTATGCATGCATATAAGCATAACCAATGGACATAAGACACTGGGGGATAGGGGAGGCTAGGGGACTGTCTAGGGCGGGGGGAAAAATATGGACACATATGTAATACCCTTTGTATTACTTTAAGCAATAAAAAAAAAATGAACAAGGAAACAATAGCTCTAAAGCCGTGGTCGGCAAACGGAGGCTCACGAGCCACATGTGGCTCTTTGGCCCCTTGAGTGTGGCTCTTCCTAAGCTTTAGGAGTACCCTAATTAAGTTAATAACAATGTATCTACCTATATAGTTTAAGTTTAAAAAAGTTGGCTCTCAAAAGAAATTTCAATTGTTGTACTGTTGATATTTGGCTCTGTTGACTAATGCGTTTGCCGACCACTGCTCTAAAGGACACACACTGGATCAGATGGATTTAATTGACGTTTATAGAACATTTCACCCCAATGCTGCAGAATATATATTTCCCACAAGTGAACATGGGTCATTCTCAAAGATAGACCACATGTTAGGACACAAAACAAGTCTCTACAAGTTCAAGAAGATTGAAATCATATCAAGCATCTTCTCAGATCACAATGGAATAAAATTAGAAATCAACTACATAAAAACACTCAAAAATATTCAAACACATGGAGGCTAAATAGAATGTTATTAAACAATAAGTGGGTTGCCAATGAGATAAAAAAAGACATAAAAAACTTCCTGGAGACAATGGAAAGTGAACACACAACAACCCCAAATCACTGGGACACAGCAGAAGCATAGCATTACAGGCCTACCTGAAAAAAAAAGAAAGAAAAAAAAAAGAAAAATGATATTGAAATATTTAGCCCTACAACTTAAGGAATTAAAAAATAACAAGAATTGCCCAGAGTAAATAGAAGAAAGGAAATAATAAAGATTAGAGCAGAAATAAAGGACAGATAGACTTAAAAATGCAAAGAAAAAAAATCATGAAACCAAGAGCCACTTCTTTGAAAAGATAAACAAGGTTGGTGAACCAGACTCATCAAGAAACAAAGACAGGACACAAATCAACAAAATCAGAAACAAAAGTGGTGAAGTAACAACTGACACCACAGAAACACAAAATATTGTAAGAAAACACTATGAACAACTATATGCCAACAAGCTGGACAATGTGGATGAAATGGATAAATTCCTAGAAAAATATAACCTACCAAAACTGAATCAGGAAGAGTCAGAAAACCTGAATAGGCCAATAACAACTGAGGAAATAGAAGAAGTAATAATAACAATAAACTCCAAGCAAACAAAAGCCCTGGTCCTGATGGCTTCACAGGAGTTTTACCAAATATTCAAAGAAGAACTAGCACTTATACTCCTCAAAATTTTCCAAAAAAAAATCCAAGAGAAAGGCCAATTTTTCAAGCTGTTTTTATGAGGCCAGCATTATCCTAGTTCCAAAACTATATAAAGTCACTACACAGAAAGAAAATTATGGGCCAATATTCCTGATAAACATAGATGCTAAAATCCTCAATAAAATATTAGCCAATAAGATCCACCAATATATTAAAAAGATCATACACCATGGCCAAGTGAGATTTATTCTGGTGATTCAAGGCTGGTACAATATTCACAAATCAACAAACGTGATACATCACATAAACAAAGTGAAAGACAAAAATCAGATGATCATATAAATAGTGCAGAAAAAACATTCAACAAAATAAAACACTCATTTTTGATAAAAACTTTGAGCAATGTAGGAATATAGGAATCATATCTCAACATAATAAAGACCATATATGACAAACCTACAGCCAAAATGAAACTGAATGGGCAAAAACTAAAAACATTTCTCCTAAGAACCACCAAAAGACTGGGATATCTGCATCCATCACTCTTATTCCACATAATACTGGAAGGCCTAGCCACAGCAATGAGACAAGAAGAAGAAATAAAAGGCATCCAAATTGGAAAGGAGAAAGTAAAACTCTGCAGATGACATGATATTATACATAGAAAATCCTAAAGACTCCACCAAAAAATCTACTAAATTTAATAAATGAATTTGGCAAAGGAGCAGGATACAAAATCAACATTTAAAAATCCATGGCCTGCCCTAACTGGTTTGGCTCAGTGGACAGAGCGTCAGCCTGCGGACTCGAGGGTCCCAGGTTTTATTCTGGTCAAGGGCATGTACCTTGGTTGTGGGCACATCCCCAGTAGGGGGTGTGCAGGAGGCAGCTGATCAATGTTTCTCTCTCATCGATGTTTCTAACTTTCTATCCCTATCCCTTCTTTTCTGTAAAAAATCAATAAAATATATTTGAAAAAAAAATCCATGGCCTTTTCATACATCAATGATGAATTCTTAGAAAGAGAAACTAAACAAATAATCCCATTTACCATTGCAACAAAAAAATTAAGATACTTAGGAAGAAACTTAACCAAGGAGGCAAAAGACTTGTACTCAGAAAACTACAGGACATTGAAAAAATAGATAAAGATATAAACTAGTGGAAGAATATACTGTGTTCATGTATTGATAGAATTAACAACATTAAAATGTCCACACAGCCCAAGAAAATCTACATATATAATGCAATCTCTATTAAAACACAAAGAGCATATTTCACAGATCTAGAACAAATACTCCAAAAATTTATATGGACCCAAAAAAGACACTGGATACCCACAGCAATCCTATGAAGAACAAAGTTGGAGGGATCACAATACCAGATATCAAGTTATACTAAAAAGCCACCTTAATCAAACAGCCTGGTACTGGCACATGAACAGGCATATAGATCAATGGATCAGAACAAAGACCTCAGAAATCAACCCAAGCCATTACACTCAATATTTGACAAAAGAGGCAAGAATGTACAATGGATCAGAGACAGTCTCTTCAGGAAATGGTGTTGGGAAAATTGGACCGATACATGCAAAATAAATAAATAAATAAATAAATAAATAAATAAATAAATAAATAAGTAAGTAAACCAGACCACCAACTTATACCACACCTAAGAATAAGCTCAAAATGGATAAAAGACTTAAACGTAAGTAATGAAACCATAAAATTCCTAGAAGAAGCCATAGGCAGCAAAATCTCAGACATCTCTCATACCTATATGTTTACAGATACATCTCCTAGGGCAAAGGAAACTAAGGCAAAAATAAACATATGGTACTGGTAAAAATAAAAAGCTTCTGCACAGCAAAAGAAACCATTAACAAAATAACAAGAAAGCACATTGCATGGGAAAACATATTTGCCAATGATGTATCCAATAAGAGGTTAATTTAAAATATATATAAGGAACACATACAACTTAACAAAAGGAAGACAAAAAAATCCAATTAAAAATGGGTAAATGACCTAAATAAACACTTCTCCTAAGAGGACATATAGATGGCCAAGAGACATATGAAAGCATGCTCAAAGTCACTGATCATCAGAAAGATGAAAATTAAAACAACAATTAGGTATAACCTCACACCTGTCAGAATGGCTACCATCAACAAATCAACATGTGCTGGCGAGGATGTGGAGAAAAGGGAACTCTAGTACACTGTTGGTGGGAATTCAGATTAGTGCAGCCATTAGGTAAAACAGTATGGAGTTTCCTCAAAAAGTGAAATATGGAACTTCCATTTGACCCAGTGATCCCACTTCTAGGAATATATCCTAATCCTAATAAACCAGAAACACCAATCTGAAAGAATATATGCACCCCTATGTTCATAGCAGCAAAATTTGCAATAGCTTAGAAAGGACCTGGAAAGAGCCCGAGTGCCCATCAGTAGATGAATGGATAAAAAAGCTGTGGTACATTTGTACTATGGAAAACTATGCATCAGTAAAAAAGAAGAATCTCTTACCCTTTGAGACAGCATGGAGGGACCTGGAGAGTATCTTACTAAATGAAATAAGCCAGTCAGAGAAAGAAAAGCACCATATGATTTCACTCATATGTGGAATCTAATGAACAAAATAAACTGGTGAACAAAATAGATCCAGAGCCCTAGCTGGTTTGGCTTAGTGGATAGCACATCAGCCTGCAGACTGAAGGATCCTGGATTCAATTCCAGATAAGGGCACATGCCTGCATTGCAGCCTCAATCCCCAGTGGGGGATGTGCAGGAGGCAGCCCATCAATGATTCTCTCTCACCATTGATGTTTCTATCTCTCCTTCTCCCTTCCTCTCCAAAATCAATAAAAATATATGTTTAAAAAATATATCCAGAGACATAAACACATAGAACAGACTGTAGAATCTCAGAGGGAAGGTAGAGGAGGATATGTGGGTCGGAAGTGACCAACCAAAGAACTTGTATGCATATAAGTATACACAATGGAATACTACTCAGTCATAAGAAAGGATGAAATACTGACATTTGCAACAACATGGATAACCCATGGATACCAACAATAGGGTGGTGAAGGCCTGGTGCAGCGGTGGGTGGGGGCTAGAAGAGGTCAATGGGGGAAAAAGAGGATCTGTCACCGCCAGTTGGGCCCCAGCTCCCCGTCGCCCCGGCCCCGCCTCCGGCCCTGCCATCGCTCCTGTGCTCGCGGCTGGCTCTTCCCCGCATGGATCTGGTCGGAGTGTCATCGCTGGAACCCGGGCCGGCGGCGGCCTGGGGACCCAACAAGTGTCCATGGGCTACTCCTCAAAAGACAATATCCTGTTCTTTGGCTGATGTCATGAGTGAGCAGTTGGCTAAAGAGTTGCAATTAGAAGAAGAAGCTGCTGCTTTTCCTAAAGTTGCTGTTGCTGAAGGACCATTTCTTACTGGAGAAAACACTGATACTTCCAGCGACCTAATGCTGGCTCAGATGCTACAGATGGAATTTGACAGAGAATATGATGCACAGCTTAGGCGTGAAGAAAAAAAATTCAATGGCGATAGCAAAGTTTCCATTTCCTTTGAGAATTATCGAAAAGTGTATCCCTATGAAGACAGTGATAGCTCTGAAGATGAGGTTGACTGGCAGGACACTCGTGATGATCCATATAGACCAGCAAAACCAGTTCCTACTCCCAAAAAGGGGTTTATTGGAAAAGGAAAAGACATCACCACCAAACATGATGAAGTAGTCTGTGGGAGAAAGAATACAGCCAGAATGGAGCATTTTGCACCTGGGTTTCAGGTAGGAGATGGAATTGGAATGGATTTAAAACTATCAAACCATGTTTTCAATGCTTTAAAACAACATGCCTACTCAGAAGAACGTCGAAGTGCTCGCCTCCACGAGAAAAAAGAACACTCTACTGCAGAAAAAGCAGTTGATCCTAAGACACGCTTACTTATGTATAAAATGGTCAATTCGGGAATGTTGGAGACCATCACTGGCTGCATCAGCACAGGCATGGAAGATGAAAAGGAATGTAGTAAATTTATACCTCCAGAATGTGCCATCAAGGTATTTAAAACAACCCTTAATGAGTTTAAGAACCGTGACAAATACATTAAAGATGATTTCAGGTTTAAAGATCGCTTCAGTAAACTAAATCCACATAAGATCATCCGAATGTTGGCAGAAAAGGAAATGCACAACCTCACCAGAATGCAGAAAGCTGGAATTCTTTGCCCAGCAGTTGTGCTGCTCAAGAAACACATTTTAGTGATGTCTTTTATTGGCCATGATCAAGTTCCAGCTCCCAAATTAAAAGAAGTGAAGCTCAGTAGCGAAGAAATGAAAGAAGCCTACCACCAAACTCTTCACTTGATGCAGCAGTTATATAACGAATGCACGCTCGTGCATGCCGACCTCAGTGAATATAACATGCTGTGGCATGCTGGAAAGGTTTGGTTGATCGATGTCAGTCAGTCTGTAGAACCGACCCATCCTCATGGCCTGGAGTTCTTGTTCCGTGACTGTAGGAATGTCTCACAGATAGAAGCTTTGGAGAAAATGAATGAAGATCACCTTCAGAAGAATGGAAGGAAAGCTGCTTCGTTTTTGAAAGACGACAAAGGTCCTCCAGTCCCACGCGATGCATAGCACCAATACCCGCTGCTCTCAGTGGCGACCCAGCGGCGACTGCCAGCTGCCAATGCCAAATGAAGTTACGGGCAACTTGAGATACCAACACGAGGAGTGTACAATGGTGCTTCTGTGCTTTTCCCCTGGTAGCCCTAATGCCAGACGTGTGGAATTTTAGCTCGGCATTGAGAGAATAAAATGACACTACCTCTCAAAAAAAAAAAAAAAAAAAGAAAGAAAAGAAAAGAAAAGAAAAGAAAAAGAGGAACATATGTAATACTTTCAATAATAAAGATATAATTTTAAAAAATAAATGAAAAATATGATTGCATGATGATTAACAAAAATTAAAAAAAAATTGAGGTAATGCAAAAAAAAATAAAACAAAGAGTTGGTTCTTTGAAAAGATTAATAAAATTGACAAAGCCCTGGCTATACTCACTGAGGAAAAAAAAGAAAAGACCCATTTAAACAAAATCAGAAGTGAGAGGTGAAGTCACCACAGACATCATAGATATACAAAGGATCATGCTAATATATTATGAAAGACTATATGCCACTAAAGTCAATAACCTAGAAGAAATGGATAAGTTCCTAGAAATATATAACCTTCCTAGACTAAATCATGAACAATTGGAAAATGTAAAACTACTGATCTGATCAGCAGTGAAGAAATTAAAATAACTATCAAAAACCTCCTCAATAATAAAAATCCAGGACCAGATGGCTTCAGTGAATCCTACCAAACATTCAAAGAAGATTAAAAACCTATCCTTCTCAAACTCTTCCAAAAAAAATTGAAGAAGAAGCACTACTTTCTAACACATTTTATGAGGCCAATATAACCCTGATACCAAAATCCAGCAAGGATAATAAAAAATAAAATAAAACTATGGACCAATATATATCTGATGAATACGGATGCAAAAATCCTAAACAAAATATTAGCAAATCAAATTCAGAAATACATAAAAAAAATAATACATCACTATCAAGTGAGTTTCATTCCAGGGACAAAAGGATGGATTAACATACGCAAGTCAATCAATGTAATCCACCACGTTAACAAATAAAGATAAAAATAATATGTTCTTGGGACTTCCAAAATGGCGACCAGCAGGAAGGTAGGGAGGGAGAGAGTGTGAGAGCGCAAGGAAGTGATAGAGGAGTGTGTGGACGCCTTTGGTGTGTGTGTATGAGCTAGGGACAGTTAGATTCTGCAGGTCTTCTAAGGGGCTGCTAAACCAGGCAGTCTTAGGCTGCGGAGTCCCGCTCCCTGCGCAGACACTCCTGGGCGGCCAGCACAGGCACGGTGACCACGCCATCTTGGGAAACAGAGCTGCTTGAGACTACGATCCTGGCCTCAGCACCACCCAGTCTGATCTCAGACGCATACCAGGACCCTGCAGCCACTCGGGACAGAGACTTGTGACCACAGCTACAGACCTGCGGACACCAAAAGTTCAGAAATCCCCACAGCAGATCTATGAGTAACAGAGCCCATCCCCCCTTCCCACAGGCTTGCAGGCAGCGCCAGAGTAACTAACTGATAGACCCACCCCTTGCCTGGGCCTCAGTGCTCCAGGAACTTTAGCCAGGAAGTGCGCTAGCACCTTGGAACTGATCCCGCATAGGGCCGTGTTCAGGAGTCCTGGGCTAGGAGTAATCACGCGAACACCGGGAATTTGTCCCACGTAGCACAGGCCCAGGGACCCCAATTCTCTGGGCAGGAGGCAGCACCAAGCACCAGTGACTTGACTGTGTTTCTTATCACCTGAGCCTGAGATCCTGATTTCCTGTGCATTCATACTAAGAGCCAGTGACTTCAATTCCTGGTGCAAGGGCACACAGGGACCCTGATTCTCAAGGCAAGGTTGCACGAAGCAACAGAGACTCTGATACCGGATTCTGGGGAACTCTGACTCCTGGCACACGCTAGGGGGCTCTGGTTTTCAACACGCTTCAGGGGGGTCTCTGTTTCAGCCCGGTGCAGGCAGGGTCCCTGATTCTAAGGGAGCCTACAAGGCCACATTGAGCGCTGACAACACTGACTCTGAGCGAGCCTGGTTTCCACCAACGCACAACAACCACACATCTTAGTGTCAGAGCCTTCAGTGACACTAGGGTGGTGGGAGGCTCCCACTGCACATGGCCCAGGCCCACACAACTCGACGTTTGAACCATCAGGAGATAATCAGAATGAAGAGACGAAACAACACCCAGAGGAAAGACAATGAGGAGTCACCAAGAAAGGACATTAATGAAGTTGAAGCATCCAACATGACAAAAAAAGAATTCAGAATAATGGTTGTACAATCCATTCACCGGATGGATGAGAAAATCAACAACCTATGCAAGAATCAGGAAGAAATGAAAAATGATATAGCTACAATCAAAAACACCATGGAAAGTTTCAACAGCAGACTAGAAGAAGCAGAGGATCGAATTAGTGAATTAGAAGATAAGGCAGAAAAACAAGCTCAATCTGAACAGCAACTGGAGAAAAGAATTAAAAAGCAGGAGGAGAGCCTAAGGGAGCTTCGGGACAACATGAAACGACGTAACATACGCATAATAGGGCTCCAAGAAGGACAAAAAGAGCAGCAAGGATTAGAAAACCTATTTGAAGAAATAATGTCAGAAAACTTCCCAGATATGGGTAAGAAAAAAGTTACACAAGTACAGAGAATCCCAGGCAAGATGAACCCCAAAAGACCCACACCAAAACACGTCATAATAACGATGGCAAATGTACAAGACAAAGACAGAATCTTAAAGGCTGCAAGAGAGAAACAGAGAGTTACCTACAAAGGATCCCCCATCAGATTATCAAATGATTTCTCAACAGAAACACATCAGGCCAGAAAAGAATGGACAGAAATTTACAAAGTGATGCAAAGCAAAGGACTGAATCCAAGAATACTCTATCCAGCAAGGCTATCATTCAAAACTGAAGGGGAAATAAGAAGCTTCACAGACAAAAAGGCTAAGGGAGTTTATCACCACCAAGCCAGCAATGCAAGAAATGCTAAAGGGACTGGTGTAAAAAGAAGAACTACAAAGCCCAGAAAGAAAACAGCCACAAAAAAAAAAAAAAAGAAATGGCTATAAACAAGTACCTTTCAATAATAACTTTAAACGTAAATGGACTAAATGGTCCAATCAAAAGACATCAAGGGGCTGAATGGATAAAAAAACATGTCCAATATATTTGCTGTCTACAAGAGACCCACCTCAGTAGAAGGGACTCACACAGACTGAAAATGAAGGGATGGAAAAATATCTTTCAGGCAAATGGAAATGAAAAAAAAAGGTGGCGTAGCAATACTTATATCAGACAAAATAGACCTCAAAGTGAAGGCCATAACAAGAGATAAGAAAGGCCACTTCATAATACTAAAGGGATCAGTACAAAAAGAGGATATAACCCTGATAAACATGTATGCACCCAATGCAGGAGCACCCACATACATAAGAAAACTCTTGGAAGATATCAGGGGAGAGATTGACAACAATACAATCATAGTAGGGGACTTTAATACACCACTGACATCACTGGATAAATCCGCTAGACAAAAACTCAGCAAAGAAACAGCAAGCCTAAATGACTCACTAGATCAGATGGACTTAATTGACATCTTCAGAACACTTCACCCCAAAGCCACAAAATATACGTTCTTCTCAAGTGCTTATGGGACATCTTCAAAAATAGACCACATATTGGGTCACAAACAAAGTCTCCCCAAATTCAAGAAGATTGAAATCATACCAAGCATCTTCTCATATCACAAGGCCATAATATTAGAAATACTACAATAAAAACAACTCAAAATACTCAAACACCTGGAAGCTGAATAGCATGTTATTAAATATTGATTGGGTTACCAATGAGATCAAAGAAGAAATTAAAAACATTCTGGAAACTCAATACCAGATATCAAGCTGTATTACAAAGCCACTGTTCTCAAAACTGCCTGGTACTGGCACAAGAACAGACATATAGATCAATGGAATAGAATAGAGAGCCCAGAAATCAGCCCCAACCAATACGTTCAATTTATATTTGACAAAGGAGGCAAGAACATACAATGGAGCCAAGATAGTCTTTTCAATAAATGGTGTTGGGAAAATTGGACAGATACATGCAAGAAAACAAAACTAGACCCCCAACTTACACCATACACAAAAATAAACTCAAAATGGATAAAGGACTTAAATCTACGACAGGAAACCATACAAATACTAGAAGAATCCAAAGGCAACAAAATCTCAGACATATTCGAAGCAATTTCTTCACCGATACAGCTCCTAGGGCATTGGAAACTAAAGAGAAAATAAACAAATGGGACTACATCAAAATAAAAAGCTTCTGCACAGCAAAAGAAACCATCAACAAAACAACAAGAAAACCCACTGCATGGGAAAACATATTTGCCAATGTCATATCTGATAAGGGCCTAATCTCCAAAATTTATAGGGAACTCATACAACTTAACAAAAGGAAGTTAAACATTCCAATCAAAAAATGGGCAAAGGATCTAAATAGACACCTTTCAAAAGAGGATATTCAGAAAGCCAACAGACATATGAAAACATGCTCAAAGTCACTAATCATCCGAGAGATGCAAATCAAAACAACAATGAGGTACCATCTCACACCTGTCAGACTGGCTATCATCAACAAATCAACAAACGACAAGTGCTGGAGAGGATGTGGAGAAAAAGGAACACTTGTGCACTGCTGGTGGGAATGCAGACTGTTGCAACCACTATGGAAAACAGTATGGAGTTTCCTCAAAAAACTGAAAATGGAACTCCCATTTGACCCTGTGATCCCACTTCTAGGAATATATCCCAAGAAACCAGAAACACCAATCAGAAAGGATATATGAATCCCTATGTTCATAGCAGCACAATTCACCATAGCTAAGGTATGGAAACAGCCTAAGTGCCCATCTGTAGATGAATGGATTAGAAAACTGTGGTACATCTACACGATGGAATACTATGCTGCTGTAAAAAAGAAGGAACACTTACCATTTGTGACAGCATGGATGGAACTGGAGAGCATTATGCTAAGTGAAATAAGCCAGTCAATGAAGGAAGAATACCACATGATCTCACTCATTTATGCACAATAAAGACCCTTATAAACTTATGAACAAAAATAGATAC